CATAAAGTGTTGGCCATAAGTGAAGGATCCATAAAGTGTTGGCCATAAGTGAAGGATCCATAAAGTGTTGGCCATAAGTGAAGGATCCATAAAGTGTTGGCCATAAGTGAAGGATCCATAAAGTGTTTGGCCATAAGTGAAGGATCCATAAAGTGTTGGCCATAAGTGAAGGAATCCATAAAGTGTTGGCCATAAGTGAAGGATCCATAAAGTGTTGGCCATAAAGTGTATAGGATCCATAAGTGAAACCATGGTATAAAAATAAAAAATAAAAAAAAAAAAGGTAGTAAAAACGAGTGCAGGGACCTTTGTTGCAAAAGTCTTGAAGTTGGCTAATTTCAGGTTTAATGAGTGACAAAAGTAAAAGCAATACCATCTGCTAAATATCAGTAATCACAGTTTAAAACTGCATATAGAAAAAGGGAGTTTTTTGGATTTTGTGCCTGGACAGAGCTCACCAGAAGATGCAGAGTTTTATTTCCAGCTAAACTTTTGTATATGCATTTTGGTTTCGGTTCAGATAGTATTCAACATTTTTAAGAAAAGCCCTTTGAAGCTAAACAAGTTTTCAAATCTTGCTGTTACGTATTTTTTATTGCCCTCTGGGAGTGTGTGTGACTGCGCGCTCTCACACGGCAACCTGTTTCGGGTCTAAAAATAGACACTGCATGCAGATGAGCAGTTTGTCTTCTCTCTCATCTTCTCCTGTTAAATTTGTGTAAATTAGAGTTTAAATTTTGGGTTTTAGAAAGCTTTAAACGCAAGTACTCAACAGATTTGGCTTGTTCATTTTTATTTTTATCGTATGTTTATTTTTCATAGTTGTAGAACTAAGAACGCTTCACCATATTCTTTGAATTTCTCGCTCTAATCTTGCTTTTACTTTTGCATTGCTGTTATATCGTTTAAATTGGTTGTAAGAGTTTGTATGATTCCTATGTCCTCCCATTACAAAAACACATAGTTGAAATAATTAAGATAGCTTGTTAAAAGTGCATGAATATTGACTTTTTAGTCTGAAAGAATATTGGTAAATAACAGCAATGCATTAAATCTTTAAATTTTTCCCCTTTTCGCTTGGTTGTGGGAATTCTTGCATGCGTTTTATCAAAGTCCAGCCGTGAGCGCGTGGGAGTGCGAGCACGGCTCCAAAACACCTGCCGCTTCTCAAAATACAATAATCTGTTTCTATTCGTTTGTGTGCATCTAAAAAAACGTGTTCACTTACATATTCCATTTTATTTTTATTATTAATTTTATTTTTTTTCTTGTTTTTAACTCAAAATTTTAGAATTTATTTTTTGTAATCTGGCAATTCTTGAAATATACAGTTTGCATTTGGCTACATTTTTGGCTCACTGTGTCAAAAATATATTTTTGTGAGCGATAATTCGAACTGTTTAAAAAAAAAAAAAATAGAATATCAAGTTATTTCTGCTATTATTCTGTGCCCGAACTGTTGGTATTTCTCTGTCGGCTGTTTCTCTTTCTGCACTTCAGCTATTTTTATTATATGTAGATACAAGGCTTTACAAATTATTTTTCTGCATTCATTTATGGTTTTTAGAATTCAAAGCATTGAGTTAGAAAAGTAAACGCTACAGTTTATTTAAAAGTACTCTGGCATCTTCTGGTTAGGTTTGTTTTGAGAAAGTACGGTCCAGGCCAAAATTGCATTGCCGTACGGCATCAGAGTTTTATTTTTATTCTTTCATTTTTGATTTGTTTTCATTTTATGTTTAAACACAGTTGAACAATAATTGCTAATCTAAATGTTGAAGTGGGTAAGATATAGAACCTAAATTGCTTTTTGACTTTAATCCCCAAAACTGTTGAATCTTTAGTCATTTTGTTTTGTTTTGGCTTCCATAATAAAACAGCTCTTTTCCGCGGGTGCATTTTCTACACAAAGCACATTTGTATTTTCCACATTTTCAAAGATCAGTGTAGAATAAAAAAATAATAATTGAATAAAAATAAGTGTATTTTCTACTTTGAGACTTAATAACCTTTATTTTGCATAAATTCCAGTTTCAATACTGTTACATTCAAATAAACAAATGCAAATACAAGGAGCATTTATTAGCATTTGGTTTATCAAATAACGGGAATAGTTGTTTTGTTTTGTTTTAAAAGCGAATAATATCAGTGCGCGTCGGTCAGTTTGTTTGCGTTTTGTGTTGACCATACCCATACAAAATCCAGTCTAGCTGGGCTCTATTCTATTTTATTTTATTTTATATAGTTGAATTTTGTTTTTTACAAATAATACACATTTTGGTTTTTGTCTGTTTGATTTCCAGTCACAATTTGAGTCAACATTTCCCGTTCAATTAAGTTTTGGTCCCCAAAAACAGTGTACTTGGAAACCATATTTTCTTTTATTTACATTGTATTTTTATTTTTTATTTTTGTTCTGGATTTTGGATTTTTTTATTTAATTTTTAACTTTTCATTTGTTTTGTTTATTATTATTTTTTTTTTTTTTCTCCACCTTTTGCCTTGGTGTTGAGTTTATTTTGGCATCCTTTTTATTTTCACTCTTTATTTTATTTTATTTTACGTTATTTTATTTTGATTTTTGCAAAAAAAAAAAAAAAAAAAAACAATGTCTTTCATGAAGATGGACACATTTCTGAGGGAGGCGGAGCATTACATACACATCAAGGAAGAGCCATTAAAGGAAGAACAAAGAAAGATTTTACTGATGAAGAAGCTGTTCAAAAAGTATGCAGCGAAGAAACTAATTTCTCGTGGCGAAGATGCCCTGGCTCCGACCAAAAAGCAATGGGAAAACATTTCACAATATCACCAAGGCAAAGTATTGCATCATCGCACCCATCCAGTACTCACCAGAAGAGGCTACGTGACTGATGAAGCAAAGATCAGGAAGCATGAGGAGCTGAAGAACTTCGCATTGGAGCTGTATGACATTGCAAAGAAGATTGCCGAAAAATGTGAAGAACGAAAAATGACACGTATCCTTGTCCTGAAGGAGGGCACTCAAGAGGATCAACCATACAAGCAGAGAAAGAAGTCGGTGACGCTGAAAACTCAGGAGGCACATTCTGCAGACCCAGGACGCCTCAGGTCTGGTACCGTGTACAAGGACCTCCATGATGATACGGAGGAGGAGTGTGATGTTGAAGCTACTCAGAGAAGAAGAATTAAAGGAAAAATGCTCATGAGGGAGACCCAGACGCCCCTTCCACGGATAAATGATGAACTTCTGTACCCGGCTTCCGAGCCTGAAGACATGGAAGCATATCACAAGGAGAAGCACAGCTACAAGCAACTGAGCAGGTCACTAAAGGACTTGAGTACCCAGTATTCATCGTCAACTCCATGTTCCCCCCCTCGTTTCAAGAGATCTGCAAGACCAGAATACACACAAGTGGAACGCCCAAAAGCCACAGCCCAAGAAGATTTCCCAGAACCAGTTGAACACACAGTGTTGGGTGGCACCCTCTCTATGGTTCCATCCAGAGGCGATCGTGAAGATGTGCAAGAACTAGTGAAACAAGTCAAGACACTGACAGCACTGGTCAGTCAACAAGCACAAAGTGTTCACAACCAAACCTCTGAAGAAGATGAACATGAAGAAGTGGGAATTCCTCAACTGCGGAAAAAAGAAGAAGAAATATGGAGGAAGTCAAAGACCAAGACAATGCAAAACATGAACAAAGAAAAAGAAGAACTCATTTGTTTAATGGACAAAGAACCAAAGCACACCCAAACCAGTCGTGAAATGCATATAAGAAGAGGCATAGAGAACCGACTGAGGACAGGCCACAACCCCTTCCGTCCAGAGACAAGAGACCACTATGTCGCAGGGGAGTTTACCGGCCTGGTCGAAGACCAACAGCATGAGGGAGCCTTCGTGAGTGGGCATGTCAACCCATTTTTTGACCCAAATCACTCACTGCTAGAAGAAGATGAAGCGGGAAGAGCAACAACCTCTCTCTTTCCACTAAGAGAGGCTGCGGGTCGCCAGCAAGTGTATCAGCCATTTGCATTGAAAGATATTGAAGGACTAATGCTGAAATTGCCAAAGCTGACAAAAGGAGCACCTGCATTTATGAGGGCACTGACGACGCACACAGCTGGTGAAATATTGTGCTGGGGAGACGTCTCTTCTATAATCACCAGAAATACTGATGAAGCCACTACCAAGAAAGTACGGGCGGAGCTAATAAAACGCATTGGACCATTCAACCATACCCTGTCCTTTACCACCATGAAAGGACCACTGCTGTCAATTCTGAGAGAAATGTTTCAAACATGCGTTCCAGAAGAATTACTTTCGCTGAAGATGAAAGAAGATGAAGAGTACTTTGAGTACAAGCGCAGAGCCAAGGCCTTATTCTATGATGCAACTGGGGAAGCAGTGCAACCAGGAACAACAAGTACATTCATCCTGTTCAACACAATGGTCAAAGGAATGCCAAAACCAGTACAACAAAGTCTTTCTCATGTTGTTGGACTGTACACACTGACCGAAGAAGACTTTGATAAAAACTGCAACCACTATGTGACCCTCTATCGAAATGAAAGAGAGAATAATAAAGAAGAAACACAAAAAGTGGAGGTGTCTAACATCAAGCTACAAAACAAGAAACTTAAAGAAGAGGCGGAAGCACAAAAGAGTAAAAACAAGGCCGCAAATGTGATGAAAGTTGGAGTGGACGGATCACAGGTCAATGTTGAGGACAATGACCAGAATCAAAAAGGAAAAGAGCAAGCTGAACAGATGGTGGACGTTGTAAAGCTCCTTTTGACACAGAGACCGGCTCAGAGAGGATACAGGGGGAACTCCAGAGGAAGGAGTAGAGGGAGAGGATTTCAAGGACAAAGAGGCAATCGTCAAATATCTGGAGATCAATGCTTGATATGCCACCAATATGGACACGGGCAAACACATGCCCTAACAAGTGGTACGAGAACCCACCCCGGAACCAATTTAATGGCCGGCGACGAAACCAACCGCAATTCTCCGGACCCTACAACGGAGAGCAGCAGATGTGGACGCCCAATGACATGCCACAGCCCCCACCCCCGCCTGAACAAAACATGAGTATGCGTGGAAACTCGTACACACAGTACCAGGATGGGCCTGGAGGCTCTTATTGACGGGGCCAACAGCAAGAGAGCCACTCACTCCACAACTGGCGGAGTGAGCCAATGGTGGTCCTCGAGGTGAATGGACGAGAGATCAAGTTCATGGTCGACTCTGGTGCAACTGTGTCATGCATCACACACAAGTTTCCACTGTCCTCTGAATCAATGTCCATCTCTGGCTGTGTGGGGAAACCTGAAAGCAAACCATTTACTGTTCCATTGGAAGTAAAATCACACCATGAAACTGTTCATCACTCTTTTTTGTATCTACCAAACTGTGGCATCTCTCTGTGTGGCCGTGAACTGATGTGCAAGTTGTCCTTCTCCCTATTCTTCTGCCCTGAAGGATACAAACTCATGAACAAGCCTGAAACATTGCAACTAATACGGTCTTGGGAGAAAAACAAGCATGCACAGATATTGTATCTCTCACCAGATGTCGCAGAAGATCTGAAGACACCTATCGATATCTACTGGCTTCAAGTACTGACGGATCCAGAGCATGGTAATACAGCCTCAACACTCTGGCAACGATACAAGCTATGGGCAAAATCCAATTTCCCCTTGAGAGAACCGTTTGACCCACTGCATGCCACGCTGTACTGTACCACTCAAGAAGATGAGAGTTATGAAGAATTGGTGGGACAATGTGCAAGGGCAAACATTCCATGTAACATACCCATACATCTACTGTGGTCCCAAAGGCATGGCCCTGTCTGTGACTCTTCCAGATGAAGTGAAGCCCTATTATGTCGAAACAACCGACATGGACCCACATGTGACGTTGGCCGTTTCCAAGTACCATACTGCAAAGTCCCTTGGATCAATGGTGAAGTTGGCAAACACTTTGATATATGCACCAACCGACAACCCTGGAGTGTCCTACAATGGACAACATGGCATTTTCAGGATCACACTGCCAGACGGGTCAACGGACATAACCAGAGCTTTGAAGGAATCGCGTCACAGAACTTTTGAAAATCACCCAGACGCTCAACGATACTTGGATGCAGTCCCAGCTAACATATGGATGACACATGCCAATGATGTGGGATGCACATCGCATGTTGTGAAAGTCAAACTGACAACTGACACTCCAGTATACAGAGCACAATACCCCTTGAAACAAGAACAAGTGCAAGGGATCGCACAAACCATTGAAGGACTGCTGAAAGCAGGTGTTATAAGAGGAACTACATCAGAGTATAACACCCCACTATTTCCAGTGAAGAAGTCAGATTTGAAGAACTGGCGCATGGTCCAAGACTTCAGACCCCTAAATGAAGTAACAGCTGATGAATCGTACCCTGTTCCAGACCCATACATCGCACTGAACAACCTTTCTCCGAACGACAAGTACTTCACAGTAATTGATCTGGCCAACGCCTTCTTCACAATCAAACTGCATCCAAAATCTCAGAAGTACTTTGCCTTCACCGTGAAGGGGAGACAATACACTTACTGTCGGATGCCCCAAGGATGGAAACTGTCCCCCGGGTACTTCAACCATTTCCTACGTCTGGATCTGGCTGAGTTTAACCTTCCTGAGAAGTGCACTCTCATACAATATGTGGATGATCTGGCTATTTCAGGACCAGATGCAAGGTCCGTTTTACAAGCATCCACTGATCTGCTCACACACCTGGCAAGAAAAGGCTATAAAGTGAAGCGGGAGAAAATCCAAATGTGTCGAAGATCTGTGTACTTCTTGGGAAGAGAGGTTTCTGCAGTTGGACAGGGAGTCTCAGACTCCAACAAAGATGCAATTCTGAAGACACCAAAACCAAAAACGGTGCGACAAATGCTGAGTTTTCTCGGACTTTGCAACTACAGTCGAGAATATGTACCCAACTATACCGCAATGACTGCACCTCTAAGAGAACTGATCAAACCCCATGGCATAACCAACCAACTGCAAGTTTAACTTGGACCACGGAAGCAGAAAACTCCTTTACAAGAACAAAGCAAGCCGTCTGTAACGCCTGTGCACTGTATGTGCCAGACTACACACTGCCGTTTCATCTTGATGTGGCTGAATCACAATTCTATGTCTATGGAATATTGTATCAGAAGAAAAAAGGAGAAAGAAGAGTTCTGAAACACTACTCTTGCAAACTTGATCCACACGACCAAGCCCAACCTGGATGTGCAAGATATCTGGCAGCATTGACCAAAACAATCATGAAGACAGCACATCTGGTCCAAAACCACCCTCTTGTGGTACACACAAACCATGGGATCCAAGCATACTTGAACTCAAAACTGTTCATCACCACAGCCCAAAGAACTGCCAACATCACTCAGACGCTTCGTCAACCTCACTCACCTATGCCAGTGGAAACATCAACATGGCCATGCATATGATCAATGACTCTGAAAGCAACAGCACGGACCATATCTGTGAAGAACTGGCGAAGACTGAACTATATGTAAGAGCTGATCTTCAATTTGAGCCAATTCCAAATGCTGAAATGACACTCTTCTGCGATGGCTGCTCATACAGAGCGCAAACTGGAGAAACCATCTCATCATACGCTGTCGTCTCACAAAAGGAAAATGGAGAGCACAGAGTATTGGAAGCAAGACAAGTGGAGCAAGGATCTGCTCAAGTGGCTGAACTTACAGGTCTGCTGCGAGCACTGCAACTCGCCAGTGGACGGACTGCGAACATCTATACCGACTCGGCATATGCTTACAGGACATTGACAATCTCAATTCCTGGATGGATAAGAAATGGCTTCAAACTGATAAATGGACTGCCGGTAAAACATGAAGTTCTTGTGAGACATCTGATTGATGCAGTGAACCTACCAAGCAAACTGGCCATCATGAAATGCAGAGCACATACACAAGGAGAAGACATGATCTCCAAAGGAAACCAAGCTGCGGACCAAGCTGCAAAAAAGGCTGCCAACTACATGAAAAGAACAATGATCGTACAACAGAAACCAGAAAAACCCAAAGAAGTTCAAGAAGAAGAGGAAACTCAAAAAGCTCAAGACAAAGAAAAACCCAAAAAAGTTCAAGAAGAAGAGGAAACGCAAAACGCTCAAGAAGACAAAGAACAGACCAAAGAATCAAAGAAGAAGAAGAAGAAGACAAAAAAATCAAGAGTTGAACACACAATCACATTTAATCGATCTCCAATATGTGAAAGAACTTCAAAACGCAGCTGGGGCATATGAACAACATCAATGGAAACTAAAAGGAGCAACAAAAGGAGAAGAAGGCCTCTGGAGAAACCACGATGGTCGTATTGCGGCACCCGCCGCACTTATACAAATGTTGTTTGAAGAATACCACAGCCCGCTGCACAGAAGCGTCAACTCTATGATTCGTCTCATGGAACCATGGTGGCATCCAAATATGAAAGAAATGCTTCAATATCGAATCAACAATTGCCACACTTGCCAAACCATGAATCCCAAGAAGACTTGCAAACCCCCACCTGGCACTTTCATCATGCCCAATTCGCCCTTTGAAAAAATTGTCATGGACTTTACAGACATGGGTCCTGACAGGCGTGTTAGAGGTTTTCGATATCTTTTAGTTATCGTTTGCGAATATACTAAGTGGGTAGAAGCCTTTCCGTGTCGAACCGAAACCGCGGCAGAAGTTGTAAAACATCTAATGCGTGATGTAATCTGTAGATTCGGCTCCCTTATCAGATCAGATCTGATAATGGCAGACATTTTACAGCTAAGATTGTGCGTGACGTGTTGAAAACTCTCGGGATTTCACAAAAATTTGGTTGTGTTTACCATCCAAAATCTCAGGGTCAAGTTGAACGCATGAATGCAACCATCAAACGTAAGCTAGCTAAGGTTTGGCAGACTTCAAAACTTGACTGGGTCACTGCTCTTCCTCTTGTGCTGATGGACATCAGGAATAGCGTGAACAAGTCAACAAGTTACTCTCCACACATGTTATTGACTGGGAGAGAAATGCACAGGCCGATTGGTCCACTCAATGCTGAAGCCCCCTTTGTCGAATGGGACTGGATTCACCAGCAATATTTGTCTGAGCTCAGGACAATTGTTTCCCAGTTGTCCGAGTGCAGACGACAAACTAACCAATTGAGACAAACAGATGAGATTGACCCCATTGTTAAACCTGGTGATTGGATATTCATCAAAGTTCAGAATAGATCCAAATGGACTCAGCCATACCAGACAGGACCATATAAAGTGACTAATTGCACAGGGAGGTCTGTTCAGGTCGATCGAGCCGGTGTGAAGTACTGGTACCATCTTGAACACTGCATTCGCAGCCCGAGTGACCAGACGGAACGCACCCTGGCAGAGGTCCAAGATGACGTCGCTCGAAATACAACCTCAACTGATGACCGATCAACCGAGACCCCGGACGCACTCTCAGGGGACCCTGGAGAGTTGGAAAAACGGGGGAAGTAATGTTTTTGTGATTAAAACCCCACCTTTGATGAGTTTTAAATGGAAATATGTACTCATGATGTTTTCTTTTTTGTGTGTGTCCCTAGTTTGCTGGATATCTGTTGAACAACCTGTTGGACACCGCGATTTGCCATACGAGAACCAGCAGACTGAAAAACCAACTGTGACCACAGCTGCAAGCGGGATCACAACTCTTGATCTGCCAAATGCAATAACTTCACAAGGTATGAGACAGAGAGCAGGCAGGAGCATTGGACATTTTAGTCCTGGGGACAGAGCACCAACAGTTAAAATGGTTTGTCAGGTAGGGAAACAATGCACGGTTTTATTAGATTCTTGCCAAATTCACTCATGTTCAAATCCCTGTGAATACAAACAATATGAAAAGTTTTTATGTATAACTACCAATGCATGCTACATTGCAAGAGGCGTATGGGGCAGTTCAGGAATCTCTCGTGGTTGTAATTGTGAATCTTGGGCTTATACAATTGCTAATACCGGAACTGATTGGGGCTACCATTCTCAAAGTGACCTAAAACATAGGCTATCTATCATTAAGGCTAAAGAAGCACCTGGAGATATATGTGACCCTGTAATCATTACTCTCAAAAACCCCAGTAAATCTGATAATGGTACATATGTATTTGGATCTTACATTTCCCCTAGAAACCAAAAAATGGGACTTCTAACTATCCAAGTCACGGACGAACCAAAACCAACCATAAAACCTGTAGACCTAGCTAAACTTAAAATGGAAAGTAAAGAAAGGCCAAAATACCTCTCAGAACTCTCACTTGAGGATGTAATTAAGATAGAGATTGGCACAGACATAAATATGAACTTATGGCTTAAATGGCTTCAGTATACTGCGCACTCATTGACGAATGAGTCCTGCTTTGCGTGTGCTGCAGCCAGACCTCAATTGACCGCTACACCTTTCCCAAATA